TCATAGCTGGAGAGGAGTTTTGTCCCAGGATGAATTGTATCCTGAGTTTTAGCCATACCTAATTTAGATATTTAAGATGAGATTTTGAACTTAAGGGTTGATGCTGAAATAGATTTAGGACTTTCTGGATGTCCTAAATCTATTAGGGTGAATTTATTGTGCATGTGAGGACATGAATTTTGGGGGATATGGTATTGTGAAATATTTAGTCTTAGACCCTGTTTCCTGACATATGGCTCCTAAAACTTTGGAATCTCTTGAGTGATTAGAGTATCTGTCATATGCTAATGAAACAACTGGTAGCTGGGGAATCCCCGGGTAGCTTCAGGATGTGTGTGCCGGCCATTAGAAAGACCAAGACATGATTAGAGGTTTGGGACTTTTAGCCCCAACCTTGATCTCTGGGAAGGGAAGAGGGGCTGAAAGTTGTGCCAGTCACCAATAGTCAATGGTTTAATTAATCATGCCTATGTAATGAAGCCTCCATAAAAGCTCAAAGGACGGGGTGTGGAGAACTTTGGGATAGCTGGAAGACTGCATGCCCAGAGAAGGCATGGAAGCTCCATATTTATTCCCACATGCCTTGCCCACTGTATCTCTATCTGGCTATTCATCTGTATCTTTTACAATAAACCACTAAACCCAAGTGCTATGGTTTGAATGTCCCCTCCAAAGCTTATGTTGACATTTAATTGCCAATGTGACAGTCCTGGAAGGTGAAGCCTGTAAGAGGTGATTAGGCCAGGAGAGCACTGTCCTCAGGAGTGTTGTTATCACAGGAATGGGTTAGTTATCATGGGAGGGGGTTAGTTATCATGGGAGGGGGTTCCTGAAGAAAAGGATGAGTTTAGTCTGATTTTGTTTCTTGTACTCGCTGCCCTTCTGACATATTATGATGCAGCAAGATGGCACTCACCAGATGGGGCCACTTGATCTTGGACTTCCCAGGCTCCAGAAGCATGAGCCAAATAAACCTCTTTTCTTTATAAATTATTCGATCTCAAGTACTCTGTCACAGCAGAATAAAACAGATAAAACAGTTAAGTGTTTCCATGAGTTCTGTGAGCCACTCTAACAACTAAATTGAACACAAGAAGGAGGTACTGGCAGCCCTGATTTTATATAGCTGGTTGGTCAGAAGTACAGGTGACAATCTACAACTCGCAACTGGCATCTGAAGTGGAGGCAGTCTTGTGGGACTGAGCCCTTAACCTGTGGGATCTAATCCTATCTCTAGTAGGATGGTGTCTCACATAGACAGACTTACAGGACACCCAGCGAGTGTCTACTGGAGAACTGATTGGTTGCTGGTGGGGAGAATTTCCCACAAATTTTGGTGACAAGATGTGAGGCATTCAGTATTGAGTGACTGGGTAAGAGCAAGAGAAAACACTTTTTTTCTTATCTCAGTGGGAACAGAGGGCAAGCTATTATGGGTTGAACTGTAAAGCCCCAGAATTCCTATGTTGTAGTCCTAACCCCTGGAATCTCATAATGTGACTATTAAGGACTGGACTGTTTCCTTCCTAAATTTATGTTGAAGCCCAACCCCCACAATATGAGGGCATTTGGAGAGGAGGTCTTTGGGAGATAACTGGTCTAAATGAAGTCATGAGGTGGGACTCTCATGATAGGATTTGTTTCCTTATAAAGAGAGACACTCTCTGCCATGTAAAGACATGATGAGAAGTTGACTGCCTGCAAGCTAGGAAGAGAGCCCTCACCAGAACCCAAACGTGCTGACCCCTTGATTTCAGACTTGTTTCCTCCAAACTATGGGAAAATAATTGCTGCTGTTTAAGCTACCCTGTCATTTTGTTTTGGCAGCCTGAGATGACTAATATAGAGACCTTATTTGGGAACAAGGTAAGATGAGGTCATTAGGGTAGGCCCTAATCCAGTATGAATGGTGTCCTTATAAAAAGAGAAAACTTGCACACAGAGACAGACATTCATAAAGGGAAGATGACGTGAAGAGACAAAGGGAGAAGATGGCCATCTATAAGCTATGAAGGCCTGGAACAAATCCCTCCCTCACAGCCTCAGAAGGAACCAACCCTGCTGACACCTTCATCTTGGACTTCCAGCCTCCAAAACTGAGATACAATAAATTTCTGTTGTTTAAGCCACTCAGTTTGTAGCACTTTGTTGCAGCATCCCTAGCAAACTAATCCAATGCCCCTGAAAAACTTTGGGTAGCCTGGTTGCGTGCCAGGAAATACAGAACTTGTGAGATCCCTACATGCTTGGGAAAAGAGATACATGTTATTTTACTAAGAAATAATCTTCTATATTGAAGTTCTTCATTTTAATAAATTAAGTTTTAAAAACAAAAATTTGCTATGCCTACAGAATCAAAACTCATAAATGTACTAGTTGCTATTCTTTGCTACATATATTTGAAAGTTTGGTATTTATTGTTTATGCAAAATACTGTCATTTCTTTTTACTTCACTCAGTATTAAATTTAGGTTGAAACTAACACTTCCATTGACTTTGGTATTTTAGAAGATTATTCAATATGCTTCTTTTTTGAAATAATGCCAGATGTTCACATTAATTTAGATACCGGCTGATGTGTTACTGCATGACAAGCAATGCAAACAATTGAATATATTAGAAAACTTAGAAAAATCTTTTAGAGTGTATGATATTAAAAAATATTTTCAGCAACAAGCTACTGGAGATTCAAGTATTTGGTTTTCAGTTACAAAAGAAAGTACTTTAAAGACTATGGTAGAAACTGAAGCCAGTGCTTTTAATACAATCTCCATGGCAACATGGGAAGGATCACAGCCTGGTGGGCTGAATGAAAGCCACAAACTCTCAATTTCAGACCCGAGCATTAACTTACATAGAAAGCCACGTTCATATCTTGGCATTTCATCTCCGCTATTTATGCAAGAAAAGGACATTCCCTTAGTCCTATGTACTTGATATACTCATTTTATGAAATTAATACTATTAGTTAATACTATTATATTTATGTTCTGAAACAACAGAAGATTAGTCACACTATATTTCTAAGATGTAGCAGGGAAATTAAATAGTAAATGGAAAATTTGAGAACTGACTGAATTCCTCAAATTTCTTATAAAGATAATATAAAAGTGATTTCATTTGAAGGATCTAGTTTATTTTCATAAATGAACTGCCATGATAAAGTTTAATTTTAAAAACAGGTATTTGGAATTTGATTGGTTACTGAGCATCCTGACCATATCATTTTGTTTATGTTGTCATATTTTCAGTAAGGAAATGTCTTCTACAGGAAATTATATAATAATACATAAGGGTTTTAACTGTAGTTTAATGAATTAGTTAAGATTTTCCTGTGATGTCTTGCTAATATAAAGATCATTTGCTAAAAACAGAACAAAAATAAGAAAAAGCCTCTGAGCTATAAAAATAGATAATAATAGTTAACATTTGCTTAATATTTATTACATGCCAGATACCATCCTGGGCTTTTTGCAGGGATGATCACGTTTAATTCTCACAATAACCTTATTAAACAGATACTATTATTACTCCCATTCCATTGACGAAAATACTAAGCTCAGGGATGGTAAATTGCCTGAGGTTGCCTTGTGGAGTTAGAATCAGGGCCTGTCCATTTGACCACGATATGCTTCTCATAAATGTGTCTGTTAATTTCATTCATGTACTAATACATTTGGACCCCAATTCAGTTCTTTTTATTCTAATTTAAATGCAATCCCACCAAATTGGTTATCTGATCACCTTAGAAGTATCAAATTAGAAAGATTTGGAGCAGGGCTCCTGTAAGCAGGAAACATTAAAAACACAGAAGATTGAAATAGGAACTAAAGTATAGCAAAACAGGATTATCCGGAGCAAGAAAAAGAAAAATACAGTTTTGGGACAGAGAGGGTAGAGCTATGGAAATGGGAACTACCATTTGTTGAATACCTCTTAAGTGCCAAGTGGGTGCCTTTCTCATCTGCCAAGCCTCACGTGGCCCTGTCACGCAGGCTGTTGTATCCCCATTTTGAGAAGGCCCAATAGCCCACCCACGTTCTCACAGCAGAAGAGCCAGGCTTGTCGGGTGCAAAGTCCATGCTCTGAACACTGCCCCATGCTGCCTACCTTGTACGGATTAAGAAACGAAGGAAAGAAAGAAAATCTTGGAAAGGTTTCTATTAACATGATTACAAGTGAAATGCTTTTTGGCTCTGAAGAGGGATAATGGCTTCAGTTACCTGGAAAATTTACTCATCTGAAATATATTTGATGGTGATAAATAAGGTACTATAGTACTTTTTCTTAACTTAAAAAAATTCAATCTTAGAAAAAGTTTAAATTTAGTTTCCTAAATTTAGGAAGCCCATAAACTAAGGTTGTGCAAATGGGGGATTTTTCATTTGATGACCTATCTTTAGCTGCTATTCTTTTTTTAAAGTAACAGTATTGGGGTTTTGTTTAGTGAACATTGTTAGCAAATTCAAAGCAAATGTGCTAAGAAATAGAGTGGCATGATAATGCCACTTGGAAGGGTTAGAAACTCAAAACAGAAACACGTGTGTTCATTATGCACATGCGCGCGCACACACACACACACACACACACACTCGCGCACACACAACTCAGCTGCACATTTTCACTTAGCAACACCAACTAAGTGAAAGAGCTGGGCACATCCCATTATACAACACATTTTTTTCCTTTGCATTCCTTATTGCCTAAAGGCTACTATGAATAGGGAAATAGAAGGAAAACATTCTCACAAAGAATGAGATCCTGTAAGTAATATATACAATAAAACTGTCTAGCATATGACCAAAAAGTTAACTAATAAAGGCAAGTCCAGTTTTCTTGTGATGTTTAAAGTGTGCATCGTTTCATTTAGCTGTTTCTCAGGAAGCATGTTATGCCCCTTTAAAACTGCTGACTTAATGCTTTCATGCACAGCCTCTCCCCTCCCTGCCCAGCACCCCCTGCCTGGGTGTAAACCCTGGTGCCCACTTAGGCATGATTACCCCTGGTGCAGCCCTGCCATTGGTGTCTCTCTCAAGGGAAAGAGCTTGGGGTAGACGATGGTAAACATAGGCTCACTACACCGATGACAGTGCCCCAGAGGGCAGTGCAGCAGCTCCAGGAGACTTCTGGGTAATGAGATTGGAGACAGAAAGTTCAAATCTGGAACACAAGAGAAAATCACACACAAGTAAAAAAATCAGACCTCCTTAAACCTGGCTTCTCAAAATATTTATCTTTGTTACCAAATAAGTTCAGTTACTTAAAAGTACTTCATGTTGAAAATTCTGTGTCTGATTTATAGGCACTGAATAAAAATCTAACATCTTTTGGAAACGAAAGGAGTATTTTATATTTTTGATACTAAAAGAAAACACAAATTCACTCATTTTAAGAACAACCAGAAGCTGTCCTGAGGTAGAGGCACGGAATGAGAGAGAGAAAATATTTTTTAAGAACAAAGATCAAAAGGCATAATTCACCCAAAGAGGATTTTGCAAACTTTAATAAGAGTCAGAGAATTTTAAACATACTGGAACTGAAGACTAAAACTGACTCATTAAGTTGCTCCCTAATCTATATGGCATTCAGTATCAATCATCCACCAGGGCTAAATCATATTTATTGAAGAGAATGAAAAGGAGGAAATGAAAAAGGATGAAAATAATGAAACCAAGCTTTTCCTTGTTTCACTCCCACAAGCTGTAATTAATAAAAATAGAGAGCTTCCTTCCCAGCTTAGTCTGAGCTACACAAAAGAGATGTTTAAAGCAAAACATCCCAGTGACCGAGGCAATCTTGAGGACACATTTACGCTGGGTTTCTACTGATGATGAATATCCAACAGAGAGAGAAATGGTCATGCTGAGCTGCAATCTAAAAATTATCAATCCATCTTTGGGAAGGAAATACAAATCATCTTTTTACCTTTTTCATCCATCCAGACTCATCAGTAACACTTAGAAAAATGGAATTTACTGACTAGTGAACAACTATAGTTTTCTGTTTAGTTTTTAAAACCAATTTAACTTTGCACTAGGCATTTCTGGAAGGTTAATGTGAGATGTTTTTGTATGGACTCTGTTTTCTAAGATGAAACATTTCACAGTTTTAAAAACACTTGAAATGTATTTTTCATATTAATATTGCCTAGTGCTGTCTTAAAGCATTTCAGACATACACCCACAATACCTATCAAATCCGTGCACTGCCAAATCCTTTCCAAATTTTAGCCGGCACGCTGCAACGATACTGCCAACAGCTCCTGGTGCTTCTCCTCCTTTAGGTATACACATTGCTCAGATGCGAGGAGGTAGCAGAGGGAAAACCTGCTGTACTGATGTATCCAACTTGAAGGACAAGATCTTTCCAAATTTCCCCTACTGCCAGCTTTTACTTCAACCAAATACACATTCCCAAACACCAAGTTCCTTCCTTGAAACCACACGGTGGAACTTTAAATCACTGTCCTTACAGCTGACAACCACATTTTAAAGAATGCTTCTGTCTGTGGGGGATGCTAAAGTGATCAGTGTTAATAAAATATCAAAACTATTTTTCTTATTAGAAAAATCCTGTTGCACAACAATGTGAATGTACTTAATGCCACTGAACTGTACATTTAAAGATGGATAAAATGGTGACTTTTCTGTTATGTCTATTTTACCACAATAAATTTTTTTTAAAGATGAAAGACAAAACAGGTATACAAAGCACAATGTTCACTAAATGAGACAGAAAAATTAAAAAACAAAACAAAACAGAAGTCCCATGTACCTTTCAGAAAGCTGTGGTAGGTATGATACAGACTTCTCATGGCCAATTCCTGCAGAGGGAGGACGTGATCATGCTCTGTCCCTATGGCCTTCACCTCGGCTGGGAGGAAAACGGTTCGAGGCCCTGATGAAAAGGAAAGCAGCTTCACCTCGGAAACTTGAATGGGAGCACCACAGCTGCAGAAAGACACACATTCACAGTATTATTAGCAATAAGGAAAAGAATACGGGTGCCAATAAAATGTGTTAATCAAAATATACATTTGAAAATTTATGACACTGCTGAATTGCCAGAATTCTTTTCAAAGTGAACAGATGCTACCCCGGGTTCCTTCATAAAACCTGGCCTAGAAATCTAAACTTATCAGTTGGAACTTAGCTAAATCATTGCCGAGGACCAGTCACTTCCAGTGAGGACGAATTTTAAAGGAACTTTCCTTCTTAGGCTCCACACAATTTTCTTTGTAAATTCTACTTTTCCCCATTTTATTACCCTTTCCAAGTATGTGTTTTTTTGAAACTCTCAAAAAAAGAATACTTTATTGAGTAATAGCATCTTGGTTTAATATAATTTTTGTATAGAAAAACAAACCCACAAAGCAAATAGATTTTAAATGGCAGAAGATAACTTTATTGGACCCTTCCATAAACTTGTGGGGAAAATATTCCTGGCATACTCAATAAGCCAAGTATCCATTTACCCACACCACCATCATTAGAACAAGATGTTATCAGTCATTTTAGTTTTTGCTAGGCTGATTAATGGAAATGTCTCCTTGGTTACCAATGAGTTTGATCACCTTTTGTTAGGTTTACTGGCCATTTATATTTCTTTTTCTGCCAACTGTCCATTTGCATCCTTTACCTGATTTTCTACTGAATTAAAATATATCCATTTGTAGGAACTTCCATATTGGTGGTAACAATCTTTTGTCATATGCACTGAAATATTTATCACCAAAAATGTTTTTGCCTTTTAACTTTGCATCTGGTTCCCTTTGCCAGCAGTCATTCTTTTCTCGTGTGAAATCTATCCACTTATTTCCCTCATGGCATCTACATTTTCTGAATTTCTCAAGAGGGTTACCCTAATTTGAAGACTGTGCATATATTATCCTAATGTTTCTTCCAGTATGGTTATTGTATTTTTACATGGAGTTTTGTTTCTTTTTTTAGACAGAGTCTTTCTCTGTCACCCAGGCTGGTGTATAGTCTGCAATCTGAGCTCACTCCAACCTCTGCCTCCTAGGTTCAAGTGATTCTCCTGCCTCAGCCTCCCAGAAATCTAGGATTGCAGGTACCTACCACCATGTCTGGTTAATTTTTGTATTTTTAGTAGAGATGGGGTTTCACCATGTTGGCCAGGCTGGTCTTAAACTGCTGACCTCAAGTGATCAGCCTGCCTCAGCCTTCCAAAGTGCTGGCATTACAGGTGTGAGCCACCACACCTGGTCTTTACATGTAGATGTTTTAGCTATTTGTCTTACTTGGTTATATAATATAAAATAGGACACAATTTTTTTTTTCTTTTACCAAATGGAAAAATAATACTGGTAGCATTATTAAACAACACTATCATTTACCTCTGAATTAAAAAGTTCTCTTTATCATATTAAGTTCCCATATACCCTGGCACTGGCTTCTGGATTCTTTAGTCTGTTTCAGTGATGTATTAATTTAACGCTGTGTCAACTCTATAGTGTTTTGATTATAATACTTTATAGAAGAGTCTATCATTTGATAAGTCTGCCTTAACTATTCTTGTTCAATTTTTTTTCTTGCAATTCTCAGTTACGATTCAATTTGAACTTTGTAATTATTTTATCTACATTTCCCTAAAGACTTCCAGAGATTTGAATTAGAATTAACATTGATTTCTATGTTAAGACAGGTAATTTGATAATAAATTTCCTTATTTGCAAACATGGTATGTCTGTACTATCTAGCTAGTGCTTTATATCCTACCCTTTAATACAAATTTCACAATTCATATAGATTGTTCCTTTGTTGTGAAATTTATTACTAGATATTTAAATGGGGGGTACAAATATGAATGACATTTTCCCCCAACTTTGATTTCTAATTATTGAAGACATAAAGAAAAGCTGTTGATCTTTGTATTTTATCTTATATTTAGTCACCTTACTAAATTCTTTTATGTGTCTGAAAAAAAACTTTTTTGGTAGAATATCTTGAGTTTTCTAGGTATTCAAGCATATCACCTATAAAAATCTGTCTAGTTCTTTTTTCCCGATATTTATATTGTCTATTTCCTTTTTTTCCATCTTATTCCATCAGACAGATGGTAGGGACAACAATGGGCCCTCACTTCTCTCCTATTCCTGATTTTAATGGCTATAGTTTGAATATATCATAATTTAATATAAAAATTATTATTGGCTGGGCACAGTGACTTACACCAGAATCCCAGAACTTTGAGGGGCTGAGGTGGGCAGATCACAAGGTCAGGAGATAGAGACCATTCTGGTCAACATAATGAAACCCCATCTCCATTAAAAATACATAAAATTAGTTGGGCATGGTGGCGCATGCCTGTAATCCCAGTTACTTGGGAGGCTGAGGCAGGAGAGTTGCCTGAACCAGGGAGTCAGAGGTTGCAGTGAGCTGAGATCGTGCCACTGCACTCCAGCCTGGATGACACAGCAAGACTCTGTCTTAAAAAAAAAAAAAAAATTATTATATATGGCTACAGAATTCACCAAAAGTGTTTCTTAACATACCAATATAATCATGTTTGTTTTTCTTTAATATAATGTTGAAGTAACAAATTATCAGTATTTTAAGATAAACTTTAAAATATTTAAAACATTATTTAAAAATATAATCATATAGAAAAAGTACACAAATTGCAATTGCTCTGTGATTTTCACAAGATGAACACACTAATCACACCAAGGTCAAGAACAAGACCCTCAGAAGACCAACTTGGGTCTCACTGCTAAGCAAAACCCATACCCCAAAGGGAACCACTATTTCAAATTCTAACACTATAGCCTGGTTTGGCCTTTTTGAACAGCATGAAGGTTGCTGTGCCTGGTTTCTTTCGTCAACATTATATTTTTACAATTCATCCATTTTGCTGTGTGTACTGTAGTTTATTCATTTTCATTGCTGTGTAGTAGTGTGGAACTACTACAAACCGTGCCTCCATAAAAATTATGTATTTTATTTGGTACATATGAGCATATACATTTGTGAGGACAACACTTAAGATCAGAACTGGGCCTATTACAGTGAGGAGAGACAGACATTAGTATATAATAAGGTAGAGTGAGAGGAGAGTGAGAGCTGTGTGACTTTTGATAGCACCCGAATAATGACCTTTTCTTCTTCAGAAAGTATGCTTTGTCATCTACATGTGCATTCTTGTGGGAACTGCTACAGATTTATCCTTCTCCTTTTTAGCAAAAAAGTTTTTCTTTAGCAAGAGTAAAAGGAAAGGGGAGAAGTGGATATGGAGATGGAAAGAAACTATGTCACCTAGAAAGAATAAACCTTGGCTTGGACAAAGAGTCTGTCATCTTGGCAGAGCTACTTAGGCTAATTTCTGTTCTGAGAATGTATTTATATAATTCTGAGTTGACTTTTTTCTTTAGCACTTATAAAATATAGTTGTACTGTTTTCTGGACTTCAAAGTTTCTGATGAGACATTAACAATCTTTTTGAATTGCTCCTCTGTATATAATATTATTTCTCTGGTTGCTTTTGAAATTTTCTTTTTATCTTTTGTTTGTTTCAGCTTTGCCTATGCATAGTTTTCTTTGAATTTATATTGCTTAGGATTTGCTACACTTCTTGAAAATGTAAATTTGTTTCTAATCAAATTTGGGAAATTTTCAAACATTATTTCTTCAAACATGTTTGCTGTTGATGTTACCCATTCTCTCCCTATTTTCCTTCTAGGATGCCAATTATACATGCATACGACTCTTTTATATTGGCTGGCAGGCCCCTGGTGCTGTGTTCATTTTTGTTTTCAATGTATTGTCTGTGTGTCCTTCAGATTGGATCGTTTCTATTGATCTACCTCCAAGTTGAGTGACTTTTCCTCTCTGTTACAACCATTCTGCCATGAAGTCCATCAAGTTAATTTTTTACTTCAGACACTGTATTTGCAATTCTAGATTTCCTTTTTTTTAAATAGTCTCTATTTTTCTGGCCTTTTCATTCATTACTTCATTGAGAATAATTATAACAGCTGCTTTAAAATCCCTGTTTGTCATTTCAACAATTTCGGTCATTTCAAGTTGGAGTCTCTGCTGGTCACCAATCTTCTGGAGAATGGGTCACATTTTCCTGATTCTTCATATGTCTTGTAATTTTGGAATGTTTTCTGGATATTGTGAAAGTTATATACAGACTCTGGGTTCTCTTATATTCCGCTAACACTTAAAAGTAATTAATATTTTTGTTTTAACAACAATTAACTTTATGGGCATCAAACTACATACTCAGTCTCTTAAATGACAGTTCCAATCACACTTCAGTACTTTCATCTGCAGCCAGGCCACTTTGGTCCTGCTCCATGGTTTTGGGTATCCGATACTGGGGGCAGGCAGCCCCTACATAAAAATGGACTACTTTTAGTATACTGGTTTAATTCAGAACTCAGAATACATTTCTCATACAAACAACTCTATTACGCTCAGTGGCTATATTAATAAACCATTAGAATAATATTTAACCAATTTGGACACAAATCCAGCTATAATTGCTTGTTTACACAAGAAAAAGTAAAGCAGTGGCTTTTTTTTTCTTTCTTTCTTATATAATCAAACAACTGGAAAAAATCATCCTGTATAGGATCACTTTTACCATTAAGTTCTCCTCAGTAAGCAAATGTGCCAATTACCATTCTCTAAAATTCTAATATAGGATGAGCCTCTCTTTCTGGCCATAATGTAGAAGCACTGGAGACATTTACTCCTGTAGTAAGAAAAACCCAGAAAAAATAAAGATCTTTTATTTCCATAAGGCTAACAAATAGCATAGATGCCACGAAGCTGTGACAGCCAGTCTCCATGTGGGCTGTAGTCCCCTCCTACTGTGAATAGGGTTGACCTGTGTAATCAACAGGATATAACAGAAACAACGGTGTGTGGCTTTGAAGCTAGGTCATAAAACACAGTTCCATGCTATACATTTCCATCATTCTACCTCTCTCTTAGGGTATTTATTATTTGTATTATAGTTATTTTTGCATATCAAGATAAACATCTAAACTATCTTTGTTTTTCCCACAATTTCTAGCACTGTGCTGGTTTGCTAATGTTGACTAGTTATTTGACAAACAACTAAACACAGAATAAGGAGAAGCTAATTTTTTTTGCATTTCCATGAATACCAAAGATAATTTTATGAGACTCTGAGATTTCTTAAAACTGCAACATTTGTTATTTACTATTTTTATACCTGTTTATAAGTTTTATACCCCATTCTCTCTCTGTTCTCCCTCTGAGATGTGAATCTGACATACATATGTGTATATCTGACTTTTCTTACACTGTCCCACAAGTCCCTAAAGCTGTGTTCATTTTGCTCAGTTGTTGCTCTAATTCTTGGCCCCTCAATCTGAAAAGGGCACTGCAATTGTTTCAGAGCTTGTACAGCACAGAAGCAGCTGTTCTTATATCCTTCACCTACATCTGGGCCAGATGTAACATATGATAGCAGTGAAGAATCAAAGGAGTTGATCTTTCAGGTCTCAAATCACTTCCTTCAAGAGGACTAGCACCAACTTTGTTCAATTATTTAGGGTTTGCTTGACTCCTTGGCTGGATCAGAAGGTCCATGAGGGTCGGCACTGTGTTGCTTAGCACATCACTGTACAGCCATTATCTCATACAGTGATCAAACACAGTAGTTGCTCAATAAATGTTCACTGAAGAAACAACTGGACCAAGATTCTTGTTCTGAATCAAGAAGGGCACTTTCTAGGCTTCAAATACACCAACGTCCTTTTGCTAGATTTCCTCCAGACCCTTGTGCTGCTACTCCTTCCCTCTCCTTTCCTTTAGGCTGAGGCACTAAGCACTACCAATTTGAACTGGAACTGGAAAGTCCCTTTTCGCGTATCCAACAGATAAAAGAGGCAGAAGAAAGCAGATTCTTAATGCTGTTGTCAAAGCTTCAGTAGTTACCATCTATTAAAATTCTGAACACATTTTGCCATAGAAATATTATATGAATATAATTTTTTGGGGTGCAAAATAGGTCAAATGACTCTTTAATGAGTTTGCTTAGGAATGTAAGGGCCAGAGCTGTTTGTATGAAGAAAGCATTCTGAGTTTTGAGTTAAACCAACAGAGTAAAAGTGCCTTTAGATTACAGGCCATTTGTAAGTATGGCTGCTTATTCCCCCAATTCTTCTAATATTAGAAAACTGGTTGTATGATACTATCCTGTTAATAATAATTTTATTTCTCTATTACTACTAACAAAAGTTTAATAATAAAAAAATAGACTACTACCTAATAATGTGTGTATTTTCCCGTTTTGTTTTTCTGAAAAGATTTGGTGTTCTCATCAAATTCACTACCACTGCTACCAGATACCAAGTCAAGGATTTCAAAATATCTCTCTACTGAACACAAATAGAACATTCTAGTAGTGAATAACATCTATATCTATATCTAAACAACAAAGTATAACACTTCTTCTTAAATTGGATTTGTGTCCACATTGGTTAAATAAGCTACTCCTTATTTGTGGCAAAGACACAGATCACATTTCGGTGTGGTCTCTGAAGGTTCTGGTGTGGGAAGAAGTGCTTTCAGCTTTGGAGCCTGCTTGCATCATTCTATATACCATGGTGATTGTGGGCATTTTATTTACCACCTGGAAAAATTAGGCTGAATTAATGATCCTTTAAGAACTCAATTAGGATTAATGACTACATAGTACCACAGCTGTGACATAATCCATTGTAGAAAAATTACTAAGCTAAAAACACCTATTCTATTATCTTTCCTTCACAGAAGGTTCCAGAATACATCTCGTAGCTTGGAGTTCACCAGCCTATATAGGCACTGAACTCATCTAGGGCTTTCCAAAGATAACAATAGCCTAAGTTTTTCTAAAAGATGGCCACTACTCCTAGGACTGCCCCTGGAGCTATGCTATGCCAACGGGGGAGCGGCTGTCTTCTATGTATATACTTACTGTCTGTCATCCCTTTTCTTGCCAGAACTTCACAAAGCGTGGGCCTAATCATTCAGGATGATGGGGAATAGAAGAGGAGAGTAAAACATGCTGGTTAGGTGCCCAAGGGGGATGACTTGGCTGCTTAAGTGGGAAAAGGAAGGTCAGTCACACGTGGGTCCTGGTAGTTGAGTGGCCCCATCTTAATCCCTGGCCACTCAGGGAAACACTTTAGGGTGTTTCTGTGCCAGTATCGTAGAAGGAGAAGATGAAGCCATCTTTCTAAAAGTCTGACTAAAAAGGAAAGATTATTGCTGCTCTGAAAATAAAACCCATTAACTGAAATATCTGTTTTGGTTGCTAGAATCATGATTTATTCTGAGGGACTATCTCAAATGTTGAGTTCTAAATATTTCCAACTGGTAAAATCCTAGATACTAGGACTGTCACTGCAGTAAAATTGTCATTGCAATGGGCTTCAGAGAAAGAAAACCTTCTAAATTAATGCGGATTCCTCTACTTTCTGTGACTGACACCACAGAGTTTATAATGGTACATGTGGCAATGCATGTGTATCAAACCATCACATATATACAATTTAAATAGTTACAGGTTTATTTGTCAATTCTACCTCAATAAAGCTGGGGTGTGGAAGGGAACTAAAAGTGTTTATTTCCATAACAAAAAAGGTATACATGGATTCATTTTTCTTTAGACTAGAAAATAATAATTTATTGACTGAACCCAGCGTGCAATATTCCAAACTGCCTGAGCTAAACAGACCTAGTCTATTATCTTTGCTTCACAGAAGGTTCCAGAATACACCTCCAGCTTGGAGTTCATCAGCCTGTATAGGCACTGAACCCATCTAGGGCTTCTCTGTACGGAACAGAGAAGACAGCCGCTCCCCCCGTTGGCATGCCATAGCTCCAGGGGCAGTCCCAGGAGTAGTGGCTGTCTTTTAGGAAAACTTGATGCAACTGTTATCTTGGGAAAGCCCTAGATGAGGGCTTTCAGTGCCTATTTATCCTTAGTTTCTGAGGCTACTTGGTTTAGCATATTAAGGGCAAAGACACAATTGAACAGAAGTATCAAAAGTAATCTGTTTTTTAGTTCAAAATGTGAAATCAGCCTTACCCACTGCACCCGATGACTTTATTGTACAGATAAGATGGCAAGCCTTTCAGGTTTATGTTGTTATCCACGTATACATATTGTAGTTCTCGAGATCGACCTAAATCTGAATGAAAAAGAAAAGTGCTATAATTCCTATTTACAGTCACCATTATGTGAAATACAAAATTTAACATATAATATTAGAAATATTCAAAAATTTCTATTCTGGAAGAAAATCATAAAAAGTGTTATATAAAGTAAGTTATGGGTCAGCCTAAACAAGCCTAGTTCTGCCCCTTGATAGATTCTTTGCTTGGCCAAACTTCAGTCAGGTTCCTGAACTTTCTTCTAAGTCCATCTGTGGACCTTGTAAAATCCAGTTTTAGCCAAGAACTCTTCTAAGTCAGTTTAGCAAGAACCCCTTACTCAGGATATCTGACTGGGTTCCTCCTTTCTTCCTCATCCCCTGGGTCTGATCACCCTGGCCTGTCTCCAGCAAGAATTCCATTTGGTCAGTCATCCCTTTTCTTGCCAGAACTACATATTGTGTCCTTATTCCTGAAGTTTCCTCTGAGCAATTTTCCATCCACTGACCACCTTGCTCCTTGGCTGTAAATTCCTACTTGCCCATGTTATACTTAGAGCTGGCCCAATCTCTTTCCCCAACTATAAGACCCAGTTGCAGTGGTCCTTTTACCTAGGCTGATGGTCTCAAAGTCTTCCTTACTATGCTTTAACAAGTGCTACTGAGTAACTTTTCCTTTAACACCTTATAAAGAGATTTCCTGTGTCTCACATCCCATGGGCAAAGGTGGATGGGGGAGGGCTAGGCATCAGACACTGGCTAGTAAAGGGTTTTATGATCTAGGCAGATTTAAGAATAGATAGAACTTCCCCATGAGGAAGAAGTGAAGCAGAACCCAAATCCCAGTCCTGTGAGATGTGACAGTGGCATAGACAAAACTTAAGGGCCAGAGAGCAGGGGCTGTAATGGGTATGAACCTGGAAAGGGAGGAAACTGAGAAAGGGAGCCCCTAAAGAAGGATCTACAACAGTGACAGGAATGTCAGAAAGAGGCAGAACTCAGGTATTTCCCAGAGGTGGCAGGATGGTGAGAGGGCAGAGTGGAAGAGGATCCAATGAGGAAATAAGGATGAAAGTACAGATGGAGATTCCTGACAAGTACAGGTAGTAGAGACACTTCCCAGGTATCCAGGCCATCCCTTCCCATGTGCCCAGGAATGTGTGACCAGCTCTCCTCTCTACTCCTAAACACTCACTAACTAGGGCTATTTGTTTTTATTGCTACAGAGGTACACAACAGTGTCCTGAGCAGTCCTGCTAACCCTCTGCTCTAACATAATATGGCAGGGGTGTGGGTGGTGGTGCTTACGCCTGTAATCCCACCACCTTGGGTGGCCAAGGCGGGCAGATTGCTAGATCCAGGAGTTCAAGACCAGTCTGGGCAACATGGTGAAGCCTTATCTCTACCAAAAAAAACCTAACTAGCCCAGTGTGGTGGCGTCTATCTCTAGTCCCAGCTACTTGGGAAAGGTGAGAAGATTGAGCCTGGGAGGTCAAGGCTGCAATTAGCCAAGATCATTCTGCTGCATCCAGCTTGGCAACAAAGCCAAACCCTGACACAAAATTTTGAAAAAAGAGAGACAGAGAAAAAGAACATAGTCTTTGAAAGGTTTTCTAGGGTTTTGCTTATGAAAATAGAAAACAGGCTGAAGGAGAGCTCATCCTCCTAATCTTTCTTTAGGAAAGTCAAAGGCCCAGACAGCTAAATAATAGGAGGTTTTTAGATTCATTCACATTGCAAAAGAAAACCCATTTAACTGTTAAGGACCTTTAACACTATGCTAAGCCTTGGAAATATAGCTATGAATACAGCATTAACCGATGTGGAAACAGACAGGAAAAACAGTAACTGTAATACAATTTGATCACTGCTATTAGAGAGGCTGGTTGAGGGTCTTATGGTTCACAGATGGGTTCTAGACAATTTGTCCCAGAAAGCAGGAGGAACATAATATAAAGTTAAGGTAAGAAAGAGTTTCCTGTGGGAGAGGGTAGGAAGGGTTACATTACTTCGTGCTGGTCCTATTACAATCATTCTGCACAGTTACAAAAAGGCAACAGAATTTCCCTCAAAAGGGTTACAACAATTTACACCCCCACCAGCTACACTGAGTGCACCTGCTTCCCTACAGGAAGCAAAACGTCATCTTTTTACATTTTTGCCATCCTTATAGGTAAGAAAAGGTATCTTGACATTGTTTTAACATGCATTTTTCTACTTATGAGTTTGAGCATTTCAAACTATGTCTGAGGGGCTTTTATATATATTTTGTAAATTGCCTGTTTAAATCTTCTCATTTTTTGATCAGGTTTTTGGTATTTCATCCCTTGTTTTTTAAGAGTCATTTATGTATCAGGGACATTAGTTCCAGGTCTGTGGTTTATGTTACAAATGCTTTCAGTTTGTCAGCTGTCATTTAACTTTGTTGATGGTGTATTTTTGTCATGCAAAATTCTGAAGTCTTTTCCAACTTATCTTCTTTTTTTAAATTGTCTCCAGATTTTGAGTCGTAGTTAGGAAACCTTTTCCCTGTGACACCCAAGTTTAAGCAGAATTCACCTAAGTTTTCTTCAAGTGTTTATATGCTTTCATTTTTCTTTTCCTTTTTTAACATACAGAGCCCTAATTCATTTGGAGTCTATTCTTACATATGGCATAAAAAGTACAGCTATTAATTCCTTTTTTCAAATGTTGATTCAGCTGTCTCAGTGTCATTTATGAACTTTTTGGTCCATTTTTACTCCAGTACACCAAAAAAGAAAAAAAGATCTCTAAGACTTCAAAAAAAAAGTTGTAAAGTGTACATATTCCAGAAGAGAATAACTGTGGTGTTAATCAAACTGTAAATATGTAAATAAATGAAAACCCCAAAGATTTCACACACACACCAAAAAAACTAGTAGAATTTATCAATTAATTCAGTATAGCTACAGGATACATTTCAACATATAAAACTCATAGTATTTCTATAACAAGTAACAACCTATCAGAGAAAGAAATCGAGAAAACAATCCTATTTATAATAGTATTAAAAAAAATACCTAGGAATAAAGTAACCAAGGAGGTGAAACATTTGTACATTGAAAACTATAAAAAACTGATGGGAAAAATTGAATAATACACAAATAAATGAAAAGATGTCCAGTATTCATGGATGGGAAGAATTAATATTGTTAAAATGTCCGTACTACTCAAAGCAATATACAAATTTAATCGTTATTAAAATTCCAGTGGCATTCGTCACAGAAATAGAAAAAAAAAATCCTAAAATTGATACAGAAGTACAAAAACAAACAAACAAACCAAATAGCCAAAGCAATACTGAGACAGAAACATAAAGCTGGAGGCATATCATTTCCTGATTTAAAATTACATTACAAAGCTATGGTAACCAAAACACTATGATGCTGGAATAAAAACAGAAACCTAAACCAATGGAACAGAACAGAGAGTCCAGAAATGAATCCAAGCATATATGGGTACCAAGAGGACATAACAGGGAACAGAAACTGTCTTCAATAGATGATGCTCGGAAAGCTGGATTTTCACATGGAAAAGAATAAAACTGGACCCTTATCTTACACAATACACAAAAATCAACTCAAAATAGATTAACAAAACTAAATATAGGACCTAAAACCATAAAGCACCTAGAATAAAACATGGGGGAAATGCTCCTTGACACTGGCCTTGGCAATGATTTTTTTGATACCGCACCAAAAGCTCAGGCTTTTTGGTGTGAAAACAAAATATTTTTGGTGCAAAAAACAAAAATAAATAAAGGAGACTACAAATTAAAAAGCTTCTGCACAGTAAAGAAAACAATTAACAAAACAAAAAGGCAACCTACTAACTGGAGAAAAAATAACTGCAAGCCACATAACTGATAAAAGGTTAATATACAAAATTTATAAAGAACTCTTAGAACTCAATAGCAGAAAAACAACCCGATTAAATAATTGGCAAAGCGTCTAAACATTTTCCCAAAGAACATATACAAAAGGCCAACAGCTATATGAAAAGGTGCCCAACATCACTAATCATAAGGGAAATGCAAATTAAAACCACTATGAGATTATCTCCTCACACCTAAAAGGATGGCTATCATAAAAAAGATAAGAGATAACAAATGTAGGTGAGGGCATGCAGAAAAGGGAACCCTAGTACGTGTTAATGGGATTGCAGATTGGTGCAGCCATTATGGAAAACAGTATGGAGGTTCCTAAAGAAATTAAAAATAGAACTACCACATGACTCAGCAATCCCTCTTCTGGGGAATATCCAAAGGATTTACAATCACCGCCTCATAAAGACATCTGCACTCCTATGTTCATTGCAGCATTATTCACCACAGCTAAGATACGGAAACGATGTCAATGCCCACGGATGAATGACTAGATAAAGAAATGTGGTGTGTATACATGATGGAATATTTTTCAGCTTTAAAAAAGAAAGATTCATGCCACAACCTAGATGAGTCTGGAAGATATTATACTAAATAAGCCAGGCACACAAAGAAAAATATTGCACAATGCTACTTATATACATAATACTTTTTCAAAAAGAGCTTAAATACAGAAAGAGAATGAAACAGGGGTTACCATGTGGGAAGAAGGTCCCTCAATCTGACCAGTTGCAAGGTCACTGTATGTTCCAAAAATAAAAAAATCTGCGATATTTAAATCACCATACAGTATGTTTTTTAAGCATCAGACTAGAGAATTACCAAAATATTGCATACTGTTAAGTAAACATATTCATGGACTTATCTGTTCGTATAAAAGGCAATACATTTATAAAATATAGATGGGAAAAATATAAATACCAGAATCCACTTGCATTAAACAGGCCTGAACATTGCACTAAGAATTCCTATTTTAAATTTTTTCACTACTTCTCTGGTATACATATAAATCGTTTAGTCACAAATAGAAATTTGTAGACTTCTAAGGCACATAGAAAACGTTGGAATAATTTTTTCAAAATGAAACGGCACTGATAAAATGCAAATTATCTCTGGTCTCAGATTTGTCTTCCAG